GGAGTGACTTATGTTCACATCCACTTAATACTGTTTAAAGAAATTCCAATAGTGCATTAGAATAATGAAACTTCCTTTACAAATCGTTGGCTTTGTGCTGCTTCACTTCATTGTGATCCAGAAAGGTGGAGGAGTGAAAACACAGATGTTATATCCTTTCTTTTATTTCTGCTCTGCATTTGGTCTATAATGTTGAGTCCTGCATGAGTGCACCATTGCTTTCCCCCAGATAAAATGTGAAACTGTGTATGTGAACTTAGTAGGTTCAGCTGCAGGTGGTTCTTCTGATGATCTGGAATCCATTTTCCAGACGTTTTCTTTTCAGCTAGTTGCAGACATCTATGTAGCAAACTGCTACATACTTCTAGAGGTTTGCCTAATGTGGATTTGAACTCCCTAAAAAGCTTAGATTATAGGTTTGTATTATAATAATTTTAACTACGCAACTGAATTTCAAAGTAATTGCTATAAGCAACTAGAGAACAGAGCTTGTAAAGACACAAGGAAGCATGGATTTCAAGAGGAGAATTGAAAGAAATTGAACCTGAAAATTTGGACTGAAAGCCTTAGTATATTTACTGTGACAGCATTGTATTGGGCTCTAGGGCAGCCTTTCAGAGGAGGTTTTGGAAGTCAAGTAACTCAAATCATTTAAAGTAGATTAGAAAGATACACTAGAAAATGTGAAGTGGGAAGCCTGCCTGTATTTCAACAGTAAATTTAATGTGTTTCCTGTGTTTGATCAATAGAAGCAGTATGTTTAAAACTGTTGCAAATGTTTAAGATGTATGGTCTGTGTATTTAAGTTATACGTGGTTGACTCTTCTTTGGTTAGTGCAGCAGGAGAAGCAAATGGATATGATTTGTTTGTTGCAATGTAGAAACATACCACATACGTGCCCAGTCTGGGCTAATGCACATGCTACTGCTATTTTTCTGTGTGTTTCTGCCTTTTTTTTTTTTTTTTATCATTTGCTTGCACTGCATTTCTGATATTTGTGGTTTATGTTGTTCAATTAGCAGAATTTCAGAATCATTAAATAATTGTCTCCCTTTGGTCTCGCAATGTCTTTAATACAGCATCTGATACTCCTCCGTAATCCAGGTTAGCTCTGGCAGGCTCTGCTAGGATGGGCTTTAAACTGTAATTAAAATAACTCTTGTGTTCTGAAAACCTTGGGTACATGTCCATCCCTTCTTTCCCTGCTACTGATGAGGAAAAATCAGCTCTAGCAAGGGATATGGTGGAAAAAAGCAGCAAAGTGAGCACCATTGTGGAAGGCTGCATCCATCCTATAATGGAAGTAAGGGCAGCAGCATTAACCATTGTGATAAAGCAGAATGCACTTCAATGGGGCCTAATTTGAGGCCCTGGAGTGATTCAGTGCATGCATGGTGTTTTCAGTTTCTTGTGTGTTTGTAAGTGAAAAACTTATTACGGGAAGCAGGTTCAATCTCCGCTTCTCTTCAGTTTTTTTTCCTACCATCTATGGGAGGAGAAGGCAGGCATTAAGAAGGGAAGTTGTCTCACCCTCTGTCAGTGTAATGAAGACTCCCAGAAATTCTGGGAAGGGTAGAGTGTGTAATGGCTGGCAACTTCTGGGTACGGTGTAAAATCTGTGGTTACAGTATGGAGTCTGGCATGCACACATGGAGACTGATGTAGACTCAGAGTCTTTTTTTTGGGAAGGAACAGCAATTCTGTGAGAATGACTATTATTGTGCAGCACTCAGGAGTATTGGTCCTAAGCAAAGTGGTGAACAGAAGCATGAGGTCTTGACATTTCAGTGGCTTAACAGTGACTGGGAGAACAGTTTGATTCCCTTGTTACAGTTGATTTTCTAAGCATGAGAATGTGATAGCACTGATGAAGGGTGATTGCTATTCCTGCCGTAATATCTTCCCAGTTTCGGTTACTGTGAGCTATTTTATGTGTCCTGTTCACTGGTGAGACAAAATGTAAGAGACATTCCATGTAAAAATAATATAATGTTCTGTAAAAGCAAAATTACATTTCAGAAGGAGGTATCCATATATAATAAACAGAATAAGGAGGAAAGGCACTGACAGAAAAAGATGGGTTTGTCTTTTGTCTAAGAGCAATGGAATATATTTAGGAAATGGGAAACTGAATAAAATTATTTAAGACTGAGGTTCCCAAGTGATGCCCTTCTGCAGTTGCAATCTACAGAGGTCTTTGTGTTCCTATAAACACAAAGAAGCTGCTGACAGGTGCTTAGCTTCAGTGCTTGTTTTCCCATGCTTTAGTTCAGCCAAACCTAGATGTCTGCACACAGCAGAGCCTGCCTTATTTTCTCGGGAATTAGAGGGGAAGAATCTATCTAGGTGTCCGTGTATATGTGTGCTACTTTGTATGAGGATGTACTGAATATCTATTGTGAGATGGTAATGATATGAGTCTATATATAAATATAAGATCTTGCATTTTAAATGCAAATGATGGATTGTGAATAAGGATTTTGAATATTTACTAATATGAATATCTACTTAAATATACATGAGCAAAACTTAGAAAGGTATATTAGTTTCTGTCCCTTGCTGACGTTATAGCAAAAGCTGTTTCTGATTAGCAGCGTTTTGGTCTAGAAGCTGACTTAGTTTTCAGTCTTTCGTGTGGTTTTCCACAGGTAGATGTCAGCCAGCAGAATCTGTGGTGAAAAATTTGTAATGCCATTCATTAGCTTGGGACTCAAAGTGACCAAGTTGCAGCCCTCAAGAATTGTGCTGCTTTTCTAGTTTCTCCTTCAAGTCTGTGTTCCATAACCGTCTCGAGAGTTCATCTTGAACTGTGTCAGAAAGCAGTGGTCGTTATCTGAATCAGGGTGTTCTTGGTTCAAAATAGAAGTATGCTGTTTATATCCTAACATGTTTACCATCTGATGGCTGCATATGCTTCCCTAGAAATGAATGAAAGACCTTAGTTTAATTCTTATTGCACAGCTATCTGTATCACAGAAGTTGCTATTGCAGTTGGCTACCTCAGCAGGAACAATAAGGATTGAATGTTACTTGTTTCTCAACCAACTTTCTTCTCTCCAGGAGCCAAATCCTGTGTTTGCTAAAGCTGATTGAAAGTTTCCGTTGGTTTCAGAGGACGTTGTGTCAAACTGCAGGATGATTCTTACAGCCAAGAACTAAGGCAGTGTTATTTTTTAGTTATTTAGTTATTCAGCTGTTCAGTTTACTTTTCCTCGCAAGCCTTGCTGTTAGCGCCTTTCTGCACTTCATGCTTTCAATTCTCTCCCCTCTTTTTAGATTTGGTCTCTTAGGTAAATTGCCTGAATATAAACTGCAATTGACTTTGCAAGCTGGACTTTATTTGCTTCTTTGCATGAATTCTCTTGAGAAACAATGATCAGCACTGATCCTTTATTTATTTATGTCCATGGGAAAATATCAATCCAAGAAAGGGGCAAAGAGACACAACCAATTTGTTTTGTCAAAAGCATAGGTAACTGTAATTTACACCAGCAACTGTGACTGGGAAGTGAGTCTGTTTCTGGAAGTCCACTGCTTCCTGTGTTTCCTTCCTAGCTTCACAGCAGATTTTTTTGTTTTGTTTTGTTTTTTAAGCTCTGCATAAATTTTCACCATGGGTTTCCTTCCCTGTTATTACCAGCCAGCCCACTGATCAATCAGGGTTGTGTTATTGCTAAGTTTGTGGATTCTGTTGGAATCAGAAATCAAATATGTGATAATGAATGTAATATGCTTTTAAGTGTTGTGATGTTTAGTGGGTAGACGTACATCACGAAGACCTTTCTTGTCTGCAATTTGTGATGAAGATGAATCATTCTTTGGGGAAAGGTTATAGTCATGCTGTAAATCACATTCTAAAAATGAAAAAAAATCCAGCCGTGATATATAACTACCATCTGGAATCCGAACTATGTAACTGTATCATGATTTGTCATCCACATAAGATAAGCTTTCGAGAATGTTTAAGTTGAAGACGTAGATGAAGAGATATCCAAATGTGTTAATTACTTCAAGTAGTTTTACATTGTTTTAAAAAATAGGGCTCACTAATTATTTGACAGATGAAAGTGAATTTACGTCAAAATGCTTTTTGTGATTTAACTTTGGTTGATGCAGCTTGAAAATGTAGCAAGGGTTACAGATGAACTGTGTATGGGATTGTCTAGATTTGAAAAGTATGTACTGCTGGAAATTAATTTCTTCTCTGACTTGAATGAAGAAAAGAAATAGATATTTCTGAGAAAAAGCATTGGGAGGAAACAAGAGAAGAAAGCCAGCTAAGAAATGGGAAAGCAGTGAAAAAAGCAGAATGCCTTTAGAAATAACTACTCTGAATCAACATCACATAAATTTCTGCTTCTGCCAGCTGCCCACTCACTTTCTCTTTTAATAGAAAGAATCATCTTGGGTCTGAAACAAGCAGTATGGGGAGCCGTGGGTTTACTAAGGAAGTGAGTTTCCTGTCTTAGTGGGTTTTACCTCACAACGCTTATGTGGTAATGGATTTGATCTCTTTAGGGCGTATATAGCATATCAATATGGTAGAAGCAGCCTTTTATTTTATTTTTCCAATATAGAAGTGAAGCTTCAGTAACAGCTTTATTATTTTCTTTCTGAATGCATCAGTAATGACAGTTCTTTAAGAATTCTTTTATAGACATCCATTTAGACTTACAATGCTTCTGTGATGGAGGCAGTAATATAATCTACATATTGTAGACAGAAATCTGGAGCACCAGCTAAGACAGTAAGTGATTTGTCCCGTGCCTTTCGTCAAGCCCCTGGAGTACAGTCATGGTTAGAACCTGGACAAACCTGGCACTGTGTCTTGTGCTCATTGCTCATAGCCAAGCCGTCTGTCAACTGAGGTATGTCTGGGGACAGACACAGACACATAGAAGGCTTGCAAAGATGGTTTGTTTTCTGAAGAACTGCTTAGGCGTCTAAAATCAAAGAGATGTTTTACTGACATCTGTTATTTCTGTTCCTTTCTTTTTAGCTGGTGTTGCCGGAGTACTCTATCCATAGTCTTTTCTGCATAATGTTTTTGTGCGCTCAAGAATGGCTCACTCTGGGGTTAAATGTTCCTTTGCTTTTTTATCACTTCTGGAGGTAAGCCCATCTTTTATATGCTGAATGCTTGTTAGCCTTGTTTCCCAACTCAGCACACATTCAGATTGTATGAACTATGAAGTGCAGTGAGAGGAGTATGGCTGAATATCTTTTGCCTAGAAGATTTTGGCTATAAGCAGCTGAAACTTACGTTTCCAGAGAAAAAGTAAATAATTAGGATGTGTAAAGAAAACACATAATAATATAAATGTGGCTTTCAGTTACTGACTTAAATAAATATTCTGAAGGGGGTCAGGATGCCCTCACCACAACTGAAGGAAAACTTGGAAATTAAATAGGCTGGAATCTGAAGGTGAAAGTTGGTGAGGCTCTAAATACTTCACAGATAGGGGGTTGTAAGACAGTTCATGTCTGAAAGATCTTGGACCTATTCGTTCAGCCCTAGCAAGGAAACCTTTCCATAGGAGTTGTGAAATAGAGACTGGGCAGGCTGACAGAATTTTGCTTCTCATCTTCTTTGGCAGCTTTGTGCTTTTTTTTGCAGTATAAAGTAAGTTATTTCTTGCTGTACAGTAGAGAATTTCTGTTTTGCAAGAGACTTCTCTCTTAGAGGCTCCTGGAGTAGGGATTGCAGTAGATGAAGAGCTGTTGTCTTCACCCTGCCCACATGAAAAAGTGGGGAGTGTTTCCACTCTGGATCTCCACTATGTGTTTATATTCACCAGGGAGCTTTCAGGGTTGGTCACATAAGACCTGCTGTTGAATAGCTTTAATGTTTTCTGGACAGGCAGCGCAGCTGCTGCATCTTCCTCTGTGTTCCAGTGGAGGATCAGCCTTCTGTTGCCTCTTAAGATAACCAAGAGATACCAATTTTTGTGGTTGTCAGTCTGGAATATTTGCTAGTTTTGCATATCCACAATGTTTGTAAAAGGACATGATTTTTGTCTGTCGGGGTTTCTTTGTGTTACAAAGATACATATGGCAGCACACAGCTCTGGTTGTGAAGTAGCTTGAAGAATAATTCTGTAAAGAAGGCAAAACCATTGTCTCAGCCAGGAACTAAAAAGTAGTAGCTTCTTTATTCTATTTTCTGCCAAAGCTTGGTAGTAATGTATAGTGATATGATATTCAGAATTATTCAGCAGTTAGTGTGCCAGTATAGTTCTCAAAGCTAAATGGAGTGAAGCTGCAAGTGCTTTTCTCCCTATTGGTTGGGTGCAATGAAAATGTTTTATGGAGCTGTTTTACTAAGGGTTAACAACCAAAGTGTGACAGTAATACTGGTTTTAAAAGTTTGTTGGTTGGTTTTTTTTAATCAAAAAATTGTATTTTATGTCCAAGATGGAAATGGTCAGACTCTAAATAATGATAGCAACCTCTGGAGAGAACATTTGATTGTCTTTGTTCCATGGTTCTCCACATGCTTTGCTATAATTACTCCATAGTTTTTGCTCATTTAACCACAAACCCGTTTGGGTTCATTGCGTAAAGTTCTGCACAAAACCATGGGGAAGATACTGTGTAATATCTTAATCCCAATGAAGATAATGAAGCAAGGTTTCACCTGTGGTCTCTGTAAACGAATTTGTAATGTTATTAGAGATTGTAAGTGGATGTGACTAATATTGGAAGGGAGGAAGGCAAAGTTATTAAGAGAACTTTTACTTTCAAAGTTTGCTGCTGGTCTCTTGTTTCAGGGTTTTATATCTATCTGTCTCTCTGTTTATGTATCTATCTATAAGCAATCCCAGCAATCTTTAGTGGTCACATTACTATTTCAAAGCAACAGAAATAACAGTATTTAGTCTGATTTGTGCTGATCTTAAAGCAGTTCATTAACTTTGTTGAGGACTTTTTTTTTTGTTTGCATTTGCTTTTTACTGCAAAGTAACTGAGACAGCTCCTTTACCAAAGAAAGTTCTTTTGTCAGGATTTTCTCAAACATCCAGTCATTGCTGAAAATAATTAGAAATTTCTCCTATGTAAGAAGAAAAACATTTGCCAATTAAAATTATTTGGATGATAAATTTTTGAGCAGTGCTATGCGTAGAAAACATTAGTCAGCCGGCTCTTATATTACTCCATGTTGACTTTTTGACTTTTCAGAGTTGAAGGAATTGAGCTATCAGTTGGTTGGGACTGTCACCTTTCATCATGTCTGAAATCAGTTGTGTAGATGCAGTTAAAGCCCAGTAATCCTTCCACCATGCTGTGATCACAAGGCACCACATATTGACACTCACAGTATGTAAGTTATTAGTGAGTAAGCCAGAAATAACTATAGGAAGGGAGAATGTTTCAATCTAAAGAATTAATAGAACACAGAATGTCCATATTCATTAATTGCTTGGTTCTAGAAGAATGGCCTGCTTACACTAGTGCCGTGATTTTAATGTCTGGCAATAGAGGCTGGAAAAAGAGGAAAATTTCTGAGCTGGTGATCAGGAGGGTGTACATCTGCACATATTTAGTACAGAATGTTACAGAGTCATTCCAGATATCTTCTCCTGCTCTTTCAGGTATTTTCGTTGCCCAGCAGATAGTTCAGAGCTAGCATATGATCCACCTGCAGTCATGAATGCAGATACCTTGAGTTACTGTCAAAAGGAGGCCTGGTGTAAGCTAGCTTTCTATCTCCTTTCCTTCTTCTACTATCTGTACTGGTAAGTGGTCATTTCACTAAGGAAGTAGCAGCTGCTTTTCATTTGACATGTGAAGTTGTATTTAGAAATGACAGGAACCAACTGGCCTGTTTCCTTAGTCTTACAAAACTTGCTTCTGATCTTGATTCAGGGAAGCATGCCCTCTTACAACAGCATGTGCTTATATCTGCTGATACCTCGGTACAGAATATTAAGCATTTATCTAAGGCCTGAGCCAGGCCCGAGGGCCAACCCAAGGGAAGAATGTTTGCTCTTCTGCATAGTCTCTTAGGGTGGGTGAAATAGCAAATGTTATGATAATGACATTACATCAAATAAAAATTATAATGTACAGGTTTAGGATCATATTCTGTTCTGTGCTGTACTAGCTGATTTTTTTTCTTATTATTCAAAAGAATCATAAAAATACTACAGCTGCCAGTGTAGTGATGCTCAAGGTGATAAGTAAATGGGTAGGTAGATGGTGTGTAGGAATGTGGGGTGCACCATGCCTGTAGTCATTCCTGCAACCTCCCTTTCATGACAGGTTAAGCCTGCATGTGGTCCAAACCCCTACTTTAATTACGTTCTTGAAGATATGCACCCCAGTTGTGTGTTGTGCCCACTGCCCTTTTCAGCTATTAGGTGTCCTTAGTGCACAGACACAAATATCCAGTGCAAGAATTTGTGGGGATCATATTGGAGGTAAGGCCTTAGCAGAATCCATATGCTTTTAGTCACCCCAGTAATCACACCATAAAACTACTTGACAACAAAGGTTAACACACTTTAAATGGAGGTGGTGTTTGATGATGCTTTTCCTCTACTCCTTCTTCCATAATATATTTGCATACAGTGCCTTTTCAAGCCAGTCTTGCATGCAGTAATTCCTCTGGTAAGGCAGGTTTGTATGCTGGAAGAAGTTAAATGTTATTTCTCCTTTGATCACTGTTCTGTTATCTGTTCTGTTGTTCCCCGTATCTTGAGGAGTCATTGCTGCGGGCTGATATTTCTTAATATTATTTCTAAATACTTTTGACAACAAAGTTTTCTATCTGTATGTGCATGTATATGTGCCTGTGTCTGCATACATGAGAGGGAGACAGAAAGTAGAAGGGCCGAGACTCACTGAAGCTGCTAGGTGCCTAACGCGCAGAAGTGGATGGGGCAGGAGAATCTGAGCAGGAGTTTAGCATCCAGTAGCTTTGTGGGTTTGGGCTGAGTGCCTTTGCCCACCAGCCCTCTTCAGAGGGGTGAGAGTGGAAAGCATGGCAGGTATGCCAGACAAGCTCTGTTTGTAGTGCAAGGAGAGATTGCAAGGTATGGCTGGGGAGAGAAGCATTTTTAACCCCACGTTTTTGTGTTGGCTAAAAGACCCTGTCAAAACGAGCTGTGTAGTGTGGTCTGTCATTTCTGCGGGGACTTCACTGTTGTGCAGCTTCCCTTGAGCCCCATATCTTTCATTCTAAAATGTGGCCATAAGCCAAAATCCACTGCCTGGTGCTAAATAAAATAGTATTAGTTACATTCATTTTTGCTATGGCTTCCTGGGTATTGTCAGAATTACAATTGCTGTAAAATGGAGCCATGGCAATATACTGTGATTTCTTTGCTTTCCGGAGTTACATTTAATATGTATGGATTCACTCCAGCTAGTGTCTCCATTTTATGTTTCTTCTGTTGCATGGAATTTTTTCCCAAGGAAACAAAATAATGTAGTTTCAAGGGAAAACTTGCCTGCCCTACCGAGAGTTGCTAGTTGAAGTTTTAAAAATCAAACACTCTAAACCCAAATGGTTTTGTTTCTTCACTGTTGAAATTCAGACATCAGACTGCGCTTTAATAAGCTCAAACACAGCTTGTGGTGCAGTAGGATGTCGATAATGAATTTGTTATTTCTTGAGTGCTTTTTGATACCCATCTTGAATACACCATAATTAAGATGCTTTAGAGACATGGAAATAATGCAAAGGAAAGCACAGGCCATTACAGTCAGACGTGAGGAAGAGACAGTAAAGGGTTATAAAAATCAAAGTGCTCTGTATGCCTCAAAAGAATACTTTCATATTGTGTCTTTCTTTTACGTTCAGCATGATCTACACTTTGGTGAGCTCTTAACTGAAAGATCATCATTAAAGACTGAAAACAACAAAGGCTGGAGGTGCAAGGATGGGTGAGCCAAGTGATACATGATTAAAAAAGACAGCAAAGAGATGAAAACTTTTAACCTAAGAAGTAAATAGAGTATGTGAAAGAAAGACCCAGCAAGAAGCAGCAGAATGGGAGAATGGCTGAGTTAACTCTGTTTATCTCCTGTTTCTCCATGTGGCACAGTAAATGACTTTCAAAACCCAAACAAAGCAAAAAAAAAAAAAAAAAAAGCAACAAGGTGGGCCAAGTTACAGAACTATTCACCTCTTCAGGGATAACGCTGCTCGGTTAAGTGGATTCATTGTAAACTGTAGCCCCTACTGTCTTCCAGGGAGCAAAGTTTCTTTTCTTAATGACAGTTTTGGACTGAGGAAGCAGAGGGCAAATCATCTTGCATGGAAAGAACAGCTATACAACACCTTCTGAAAATGAGCACTGACTGGAGTTTGGATAAAATGTGTGACTGTTTTGCAGGGATATTCACATGACGCTATTCAAACAGGGATGTTGGATCTTGTAGAATTGCTTCAGTGATTTTTTTTATTCCACCCCCCCCCCCCCCCCACCAACAACAATAACAAAATAATTTGCAGTTGCTGTTTTCTAATGATATGCTATTCCTGTAGGTGAACAGCTGGTATATTTCTGTACTTCATTTGTGATGTACTTATAAGAACAATGTTCCTCTAACTGCAAAAAATATGTAAAAGCTACATATATTAAAGAAGATTGTAACAGAGGTATTATGTTCATCACAATGCTGGATAACAAAATACTGGACCAACTAATCGTGGTCTGTAATTCTGTTTTGCAGCTTTATTTCTACTGTCAAATTTGAGCTGAAATGAATGCACAAAATGTTTTTTGTCTCGTATGAGGTTCATATTGAAAGATGTTCAGTGTTTTATAATGTGAAAGTTTTTAAATTTTACCATATAATTCACACTTAAATTCATATATATGGGCTGTATATCTTTATATATATGTATATACAAATACGCATCTACCTAAATACTCACAATCTATTTATATTTTAGGTTAATCTGTTTGATTGACAGGTCAAAGGCATCAAGTGTCCAGAACTGCTGCTAAATATATTTCAGCGCTGAATCTAGTGGACCAGGGCTGATTCCCTCAAAGTCACTAAGGTATTTCAATGCAGCCACTGGTGCCCTGGATAGCAGGCAAGCCTGTAGGATCCAGACTAACACCAGTCCATGCATAGAGACCACTTGGGTCTTGCTTTGTGAAGGAGCTGGTAAAATATCTTGCTATCAGAGACACTGCATACAACAGTGCAGTGAGGCCTACCTGTACGGCAGCTTGGTTACAGCTGGTCTTGTTAGCACTAGCTCATTGTTGACTCTGCCAAATTTGGTCTGGCTATTGAAAGCCAATAGATTGTTCCTGTGCCAAACTCTGATAACTTTTTAATCTGGGCACAGGAATTCAGAAGGAGAGATGCAGTCTCACATTCAGCACTGCTTCTGTGCCAGCATACCCTGTTGTAGAGCATGATGCAGAAGCAATGGCTGAATGGAGTCATGTCATGTCTAGCAGGGTCCAAACTGAGCCTGGAGTTACCGCATGTGTACAGTCATGGCTCTTTCTGGTTTGATCTGGCTATGTTAACAAAATTAAGTCCTGTTAGCCTGCAAAGCACAGCTGGTGCATGCAAACTGTCTGTTTCTGCCCCATGCCAACTCCCAGATCATACCTGGCCATTGCTTGGAAGAGTGCTAGCTGGCCTGCGTAAAGATTATACCAGAGGTCATTCTAACAATATTTAGATGATCAAGTTGTCCCAAGTGCTGACATTCTTTAATTTACAAGTACAGATATAGGCAGTAGGTCTTGCTGGATGTAGCTTAACTTCTCACAGCATAGTGTTCCCAGTTCTGGAAGCAAACAATAAAGCTGCTAAATCAGGTTAGTTGGGAACCTAATTTGGGCTCTGATGGTTCATTAGTTTGGATTGCACCCACTACAGAAGAGGCTAAACTGCTCTTGAAATCACACTGACCCTGCTGTATTCTCTTGGAGTGTGGTTGAGCTCAGAAACTTTGCTGCGTCGTTACAGACCTAACTGATAAAGCTCTGCTACCATGGTAAAGTTAATGCAAAACCAATAAAAAGCTGACAACTGAATTCCTTCTCTACATCCTAACTGAAGCATCTAGTTCTACAGAAGTGTAGGAACTAGATTCACAAGAGCAAATCAACATCACAGTGGCAACTTGTAGGCATCTTGCTACCTCATAAAACTCTGAACTCTAAGCAAGTGACTGAATCTTTCCATACATCTCCCAGGATGCACAGAAGGTGGAAAAAAATTAATTCAGGTTTTCTGTGTTCCAGATACATGCTTTAAAGTCAGTTTCATCAAAAAGCCTGGCACTTTTTTAGGAGGCTGCATCCGTGAAAGTATGATCACATCTTGAAAGAAAACGCACACCTGAGATTTCAGCATAAGATAAACTCCCAGCAGGTCAATTGCTGGGCAGAAGCTCCATGAGTTATTCTAACTGGCGCTGGCATATAATTCTTGACTTTATGCAAGCAGCACTTGTATACCTAGATCTTCTAAATGTAACATCAGGTGACTTCAAGGACATAACGCTTGAATGGATGTGCTAGGTCATTTGAAACACATTCTTAGTTTTGGGCAACTTCATCATTATACTTATCAAACTCCACTTGAAAGCAGAACAGTTTGTTTGATCCCATTACTGCTATAAGCAAGCTTTTCCAGGATCTCACTGCTCTGGTCGTAGAAAGTTTTTCTGCATTTCCAGAGTAAATTTACTCTTGGATAATTTATTCCACTTGCTTTTGACCCAACATTAACCTAATACACCTTTTCTCATGCTGCTCAAGACCCTGATATATATAGAGCGTGGTCCTTTCCAGCCTCCATTCTGTTCAAAGTGACCAGTTTCTTTTTCCATTCTCCCATAGAAAAGCTCTCCATTCTCCATGCCTTCTAAAGGAGCTCTCGGTTGTCTTTCCAGTCAAATTGATCTTTAAGAGTGGATGATTACTGTTGTTCAGAGTATTCTGGAGAGTATCTTACCCTAACTAGTCCTTTCTGTGACTGGACAATGAAAGCTAACATTCTCAGTTCTTTCCAATAATCCTTATTCAAAAACAGTAATCCCACCAGTCTCAATAGCATTTTGTGTCTCTTCAAGAAAAATCTTAATTTAAAGTCAATGGAAAAAGGTGTTTAATATGAGGATACTTCTCCCTTCATTTAATTTAATGAAGCTTTTCCTGAGCAGAAATAATTTATGAAACTGGCCAAAGTATTAATTGTAGGAAGTTTAATGTAAAGCACGTATCTCCAACCCAAAACTCAAAAGTAATGAGACTTCCTAAGGTGTCTGACAGTATCAAAAAGCTTCTAGTACTGTGGACCTCACAAAGAGTAGAGGAAGATATGTTCCTTGCTCTGTGTTGCTACCCAGGTGCATTGCTGTATCTTGCTGGGTTACTCCAATAGACTGCCACCACTTAGCTGCAGTCCAGTGCTAAACCATTATGCAGTGGTGCTGCTGTAGTGTCAGGTAGACTTCAATACCATAATCATACTGATTTTCAAATTAGTGATTTTCTTAGAATGGCAGAATTGTCTCCCTGGATTTATCACAGAGAACAAAAACCTCAGATTTTTTTTCTGAAGTCAAATAGGCGCGTTGTATAACAGGAAGTGTATGATTACTGTAAAAAGTCCAGAAATTTACCCTGGATTCTTCTGTGTTGTCTGTGTGGTCTGGCCTCTGAACAGTTGTATTCACCTACAGGGGAATCAAGACCAGATTTGTCGTTTTCTCTGTTAGACTTGCCAGCCACATTCTAAGAAAAGCAGCACAAATAGAGGAAGGAAGAATGAGGAATACAAGGGATGTGTTGCCCTCTTAATCCCTGACCATGTATCTGGCTAAACACAAGCTAAGCATACTTTGACCAAAGCAAGGGAAGTAAAGAACTGTGTAGCTGTTGACAGAGAACAGAAAAAATGCTACGATCTTTGGTCACAAGGCAGTCTCTTCCCCGTGTTGCACTTTTAAGGGAGAAATAATCTATGCTATCTCTTTTGTCTCCAGTTCCTCCTTGTTGGTTGGTTAGGGCTAGAGATTTCCTCCCCAACCCTTCTCTCTTCCTACCTTTTTCCTGGAAAGGCGAATGTCATTACTTAGGAGCAGCAGTTTTCATCCCTCACGTGTTCTGGTGATACAGATAAATCCCACAAAAGTCATAAGGGAATATGTCATCTCTCGCTGCTCCTTCAAACAGGCGTGCAATGAACGCACACTTAAATGAGTATTCATTTTCCTCATTTGCACCATCTGTAAAGTGAGAATGGTGATGCATAGCTTGCGAAATCTTTCCATGCATATAATACTTTTCTTTTTTTTTTTTTTTTTTTTTTTCATAACTGTTGAATCTACTTAAAGGAAAAAGATAGGAGATGGAAAAAAATGTGAGAGAAGGAGACCTGAATGAGCTGCTTACCAAAGGGGTAGCTACACAGTGTGCCGGCCTCTAGCTGCCTGTTCCTGGAAGTGATGAAAAAGCAGCCCCAACGGCAAGGTGTTGCACTGTGGTTCTGCCTGTCCTATATATAGTCAGGTAATTGCAGCAATGCTGAATAAAATTGTTGCTGCTATGACTGTTTCAGTTTCAGATACAGCAAATCAGTGCTGATAGCAGAATGCTTCGCCTACAAATAATTAACTATACTTAAGCTGTCAAAAACGTTTTTCCATCTGTTTCCTTGGGCCATACTCTTCCTTTTGCACTAAGACACTGAAAGTGGAAGAAAAAGTTCTTCAACCTACATCTTCTTACAGGAACCATACTGAGGTGGTTATGATCTGGCACTGCTGTTGAGGTCATGATTACTCATCCATTAGTATGTGTATTAGCAATCTGTTGCTTTTTCTTTCTCTGTTCTGTGTCCACAC